ATGCGTGGGGGCGATCACATCACCTGTGATAACACAATGCACACGTGTTTGTTTCCACATGCATGCACGAAACAAAGTACGACATGTGTCCGTTACACTAACATCACCAACTGTGATGAAGCAACGCACACGTGGTTGTTTCCACATGCATGAAAAAAAAAAAAGGACAGGGCTATTAAAACGAAAGGCTGATGCAAGTTAAGGTTCGTTGTCTCTTCTTCAGAAGCTAACCCCCCTCCCTCCCGGGCAGGAAGCGATGTCGATAGAATATATATAGGGTTGGCAAAAACAATTTCCAGTACCTTGGCAAAGCAGGAGGGAACGAGTTGGTCATTGTTGATCGGTCCGGAGGCAACAAAACCGCGCGGCTGACGCCAACCCACGAAACATTGTGTGCGTGAAGTGCTTGGTTGATCGCCACACTCACGACTTGCTCCAAAGGCAAGCACCACACTCACAACTTACTCCAAAGGCAAGCACCACACTCACAACTTACTCCAAAGGTAAGCACCACACTCACAACTTACTCCAAAGGCAAGCACCACACTCACAACTTACTCCAAAGGCAAGCACCACACTCACAACTTACTCCAAAGGTAAGCACCACACTCACAACTTGCTCCAAAGGCAAGCATCACACTCACAACTTGCTCCAAAGGCAAGCACCGCAGGGGGAAAGGAAAGGTGGAGCAACAAGGTGGAGCAATAAAATAAAAACAAAATAAAAACAATGAAAAAAAGCGCCTGCGTGACCTTCCTCTTGTGTGTGACCCCGGCTGATACAGTACTTCAGGTACACATGTATGCCGAAAGGCCTTTAAAAACGGGCGCCAGAACATAAGGGACGAACACACACAGACACACGCACGCGTGCGCAACAACACACACCTGCAGGATTTGTTGAAACGCCTCGGCCAGCTCTGGGGGCACCGCCATCTCCGGATCGGGATCGTGCCAGGACCCCACGGCGCGGCAGAAGCTTCCCAAGGACTGAAACGGAACAAAGCAAAGTAACGTTTCGTGGTCCGGTCCGGCCGTGCGTTGTTATCGGTGCATTGAGAGTACAACACACCGACAGAAAAACAGCGCCATGACAACGGGAGGGATGGGATGGCATGGGTTGCGTCAATGGGGGGCTCTGTTGCACGGAGACTGTTATCTTCGGGCGGGGTGTTTTCACTGGCGGCGGGGTGTTGTCTTTGGCGGGGTGTTTTTTGTCGGGGTGGGGGGGGTTGACAGCGCCACCACCTGCTCAGACACGCCACCATCGCAGCATCAACAATAACAAGAACAGTAACAAGGACAACAGCAACAACAACGACAACAACACCAGCAACAGCAACAAGGACAACAACAGCAACAACAACCAACAACAACAAGAACAAGAACAGTACAAGGACAACAGCAACAACAACAACAACAACAACAACAACAACAACAGCAACAGCAACAGCAACAAGGACACCACCACCACCAACAACAACAACAACAACAACAATAACCATAATAAAGGACACACAATGGCAACAACAACAGCCTACACAGCTGTTAATGCTCGGTACTCACATTAAGGATGCCGGCCGGGTTGTGCCTGATGACGAGGCAAAGTCCCTTAAACGCCGCTTCCTTCTCGGTCCGATCCCGAACCATCGTAAGGCCCTCGCACCAGTCGCCGCAGTACCTACGGAGACGGACACAGAGACAGAGACAGAGAGACATACACAGATAGATAGACAGACAGAGAGACACACAAAGAGAGAGAGAGGAAGGGAAGGAAAGGGAGAAAGAGAGAGAAAGAAAAACAGAAAGAAAGA